CTATCTTGCCCCGTTACCATACCGCCCGTCAGTCTGTGTGTCTGTACGTGAGTGCTGGCTTGGCACTATCTTGACACTCCAGCAGGGAACATGTCAGCAGAGAGGAGTGGCACTGATAGCATGGCATGGCACTGTATACCTGTGGTGTGTGTGTGTATGTGTGTGTGTGTGTGTGTGTGTGTGTGTGTGTGTGTGTGTACGTGTGTGCGTGTGTGTTTTCCTTTCTTCCTTTCTCTAAACCACATCTTTGCTGTTTTTATACATTACGCCTCTCTCTCTCTCTCTCTCACATCTCCCTCTTTCATCTTTTTTCTTTCTCTATTCTTCTCAATTTCTTCTTTTTCTCTCTTCCCTATTCTCCCTTTTTTACATTCTCATTTTCTCTTGTTCTTGTTTGTTCAATGGTATTTTGTCCAGTAGTATTTTGTTCAATGAGTTAGTGTTAGATATTATTTTGTCCCACGGTATTTTGTCCAAAGGTATTTTGTCCAATGGTATTTTGTCCAACGGTATTTTGTCAAATGGTATTTTGTCCAATGATATTTTGTCCAATGATATTTTGTCCAATGGTATTTTGTCCAATGATATTTTGTCCAATGGTATTTTGATCGGGCGTGTACCTGGAAGTTGTAGATGGCGTTGATGCTGTTGATGGAAGGAACTCCACCAAACTTGAGGGACAACAGTAGATTCTTGTGGTCTTCTCCGGCGTCCCTCAAGTTCTGCCGGATTAACACGAAGTCCGGCTTGAAGGATCTGTGTCAGGGAGAGAAGGAAGGAGTTTAGCTTGAAGGATCTTTGTCAGGGAGAGAAGGAAGGAGTTTAGCTTGAAGGATCTGTGTCAGGGAGAGAAGGAAGGGCTTTAGCTTGAAGGATCTGTGTCAGGGAGAGAAGGAAGGAGTTTAGCTTGAAGGATCTGTGTCAGGGAGAGAAGGAAGGAGTTTAGCTTGAAGGATCTGTGTTAGGAAGAGAAGGAAGGACTTTAGTTTGAAGGATCTGTGTCAGGGAGAAAAGGAAGGACTTTAGCTTGAAAGAGAGAGAGAGAGAGAGACTCATATCAGCCTAATCTCTCTTCTGTCTGTCACAAGGGATTAAGATTAAAGCTTCCGACTGACTGTAATAGAATGTTTTAGCTGATAACTATAAATGATCTTAGCTTTGAGATAAAAATGTGATCTTAGCTTTAAATTTTAGCTTTGGGATAATTTTAGCATTCAATTGTTTTGTCTCTATCTTTGTCCTTCTCTGTCTCTCTGAAGGGAAGGTGAGAGATAATGGAATCCCTCTTACCTTTCCTCTTCCTCCCACTCTCTCCATTTTATCCTCTCTCTCTCTCATCCCCTTCCCCTCCTCTTTATTTCTTTTCCTTTACGGTTTTATATTTCTCACTTCCTTCTCTTTCTTCTCTCTCCCACATCATTCCTTTTCCTCTCACGCCTTCCCTCTCCTTCCTACGCCATCATTCCCTTTCTCACACCCCTTCCCGCCCTCTCACATCTCTCTCTCTCTCTCTCTCTCTCACTCTCACGCCTTCCTCTTCTCTCCTGTTAAACTAAAGACCCAGGGATCGAATCCTACTTGAGCTGATCTCCATAAATTGGGTTCACTCCCCTGGGTGCTGTGAGTCCCCCGGATCTGCTTCTATAATTAAATTGCAAACTCTATGTTCTTTTTTTTTCTCGAGGTATTAAATTTGTATAAGTGACAGAACGGTTATGGCACTTATAGTCTCTTATTGTTTTGTTATTATTATTGCTGTTATTATTATTATTATTATTATTATTATTATTATTATTATTATTATTATTATTATTATTATTATTATTATTATTATTATTATTTTTGTGACGGTGCCAGAATGACTTAGTAACTTACTAACTTGATAACTGACTGACTCAATAAATGAATGATTTAGCAACTTGTTGACTTAATAACTGTGTAATCTTTTTCCCACATTCTATAAAGACTTGACTCATTTCTGCCCTTCCTGACCTGACTGCTGGTGTTATTGGAGCGTGAGGTATGTACATCAGTGTTTAATTGCAGTTTGAATGATCATATTTTATTTCTCTTGTTAGGTAATTTATAAATGTATATGACATTTTCACTTCTATATATAACAAAGAAAATGGGAAATGGTAAATAAGCAGAAAATGGGAAATGGTGAATAAATAGAAAATGGGAACTAGTAACAAAATAAATAGAAAATGGGAAATAGTGAATAAATAGAAAATGGGAAATAGTAACAAAAAAAATAGAAAATGGGAAATGGCGAATAAATAGAAAATGGGAAATAGTAAAAAAACAAACAGAAAATGGTGAATGGTAAAGAAACAATAATGGGAAATAGTGAGTAATAAGAGAAGATAAAATGGTGAACAGGGAGAAGGATGACGATAACAGTGAGTCAGGTCTTTCACCCACTCTCACATCTTAAAGCTGACGGTCCCATGCACGCCCACCCACGCCTTCTACTCCTACTCCATGCCTCCTACTACTCCACGTCTGTTACTCCATGCTTCCTCCTCCTACTACTCCATGCCTCCTACTACTCCACGTCTGTTACTCCACGCTTCCTCCTCCTACTCCTCCATGCCTCCTACTACTCCACGTCTGTTACTCCACGCTTCCTCCTCCTACGCCTCCATGCCTCCTACTACTCCACGTCTGTTACTCCACGCTTCCTCCTCCTACTCCAAGTTGTATTCTCCACTTCCATCTCCCGCAAGACATTCCTTAACACTCCCTTTCACCCCCACCACCATCATCATCATCATCATCATCACTATCATCATCATCATCATCATCATCATCATCACTATCATCATCATCATCATCATCATCACTATTACCACTATCATTACCACCACTACCACCAACAACAACACCACCACCACCACCACCATTACTACCACTACCACCACCACAACATCTTAGAGTTAATACCTTCGTCAACATAAATTAATTTCAGGTAACAACCCAACGAGACTTAATATGAGTGAAGATGAAGCCTCTCTCTCTCTCTCTCTCTCTCTCTCTCTCTCTCTCAATTAACATACCCTTTTTAAGAAATAATATCTCTTGTTCATTAGCACACCTGATATGCAAATCTAATTAAGAGTCAAATTAACTTAACTAATTCAAACCATTGTTGAGTTGTTTACTTGTATGTGTGTGTGTGTGTGTGTGTGTGTGTGTGTGTGTGTGTGTGTGTGTGTGTGTGTGTGTCTCTCTTTTTATCTATCTCTCTTTGGCTGTCTCTACTTCTCTCTGTTTGTCTCTTTCTGTTTGTGTCTCTATCTATCTCTGTTTATCCATCAATCTCTTTGTCTATCTGTCTATCTCTCTATATCTGTCTAACTATGTTTATCAGGCTACATGTCTCGTTATCTCTATCAGTCTGTCTCTAACTATGTCTGTCTGCCTCTGTCTTTCTTTATATCTGTGGTAACGTGAGAGGCAGCCACAGATAGATGGAACTACAGAATAAGAGAGAGAGAGAGAGAGAGAGAGAGAGAGAGAGAGAGAGAGACGACTCAAGCCTCATCCTTCATATTAAAGAAATTCACCAAGATAGCGTGTTGTCTCCACGTAATAAACCTTAATTAAATCATGTCCCTACTAAGCTCCCAAGCCCTCTAACTAATACTAATAAGACTATATGACTCTATAATGCTACTACCTATAATAATTCTTTTGGTTATATATCATTATTTTCACTCATTGAGGTTTTATCGAAATTCGTTATCTGATTTAAAAATGGAAACCTGTGAAATTAACCCCAATCATAAATGGCTATAATTTTAATATTATTTGTGCTAGTTAAACATCCAGCAATTATGAGAAGGAACCAGTCATGATACATTTTCCGACCACGATTGAAATAAATTCCTTTAGTTAAGATATTAAGCATATAATATGTCAATCGTAAAGTATCTAATGTAAAGACTGTAACTATGAAATTATATTGGGTACTAGGATGATTATAAGTATGGAGCAAGAAGCAGTCAAGGTACATCCTCACACCAAGTTTGAAGTCAATCCCTTGAGTCTATGGTAAACTACGGAACCAAACTATTTATGTCGTGCCTAAATATATCTAACTTTATTATCACTTAAGCTAGCCAATCACCAAGAATTACCAAATAAAATCCTATCATGATACACTTTCACACCAAGTTTGAAGTCAATCCATTAAGTCTGGGGAAAGTTATCGTGTGGACACTGATGTTTATTTAAACTTTGGACGGACGAATTGACCGAATAATAGAAACAGGAGAGAAAGGAGATCTAATGGTAGTGTGTCGGAAGCCTCGGGTAAATTTCTGCCAAATACATCTGCTTAATGTTGAAGTTTCTGCTATCTTATTATCACTCCCCTTAATAAATACTAGTTTATTTTCATTCACATAAATGAACAACTTATTTTCACTTAACATTATAACTATCTACCTTATTTTCAATCCTCATCAAAAACAACTTCCTTATTTTTTAACCCCATTATAAATACCATTCTTATTTTCACTTTCCATTATACTCACTATTAGAAATTTCCTATAATCATACCCTATTTTCACAGTTCCCCTATTGTGACTCCCTATTCTCAGACTTTTCCTTATATAATACCCCTTACCTTCCCTCCCTATGCTCAAGGGTTCAGCTGAAGGTGTAAGTAGGGGTTTTCCCTTTATGGTTCTGGATATTATATGTTAAAGAAAAACATTACAACTCTATATTAAAAAAGTTTTGTTTTGAGAGAGAGGGAGAGAAAGAGAATGGAGGAAGGGAGAAAGAAGAAGAAGAAGAAGAAGTGGAGGAGGAGGAGGAGAGAGAGAGAGAGAGAGAGTACCATCAAATTTCAACCTCGTTAAACCTGACGTTAAAAAATAACTGTTCTCATTAAAAAGGAAATGACCCGAACATGGTGTCTAGTTACGTTCGTCTTACGTGTATGAATGACTCAGTCTGAAGTCACAACAATGCAGACCTGTCTCCCTGAAGTCAAAACAATGTAAAATGGTCTCCCTGAAGTCAAAACAACATAAAATTGCCTCCCTGAAGTCAAAACAACGTAAAATTGCCTCCCTGAAGTCAAAACAACATAAAATTGCCTCCCTGAAGTCAAAACAACACAGCATTTGTCTCCTTTCAGTCAAAACAATACAGAACTGGCTCCCTTAAGTAAGAGAAAACCTCATCTGTCTGAAGGGTAACTCTCTTATTCCTCTGAGCTATGGCTTTAATACGTGTCATTGAATTGACTCTCAATCTTTCTATCTGTCCCATCAATCTGTATTTTACTTTGTGAATGTGAGTCGTCTTTCTTTATTTCTGTCTTAAACTAATTTCCTTCCCATTCACCCCCCTCTCTCTCTCTCTCATTCTATCTCCTTCCCTGTCTCTCTTCTTCATTCTTTTTCCCATTCTCTCTCTTACTTCCTCCTTCCTTTTCCATTCACTTCCTCTTCCTAAATCCTGTCTTTCTCCCGTTTTCTTCTTGCTTTCTCCCTCTCTCTCTCTTAATTCATCTCTCTACCCCCTCCCATTCTCTCTCCTCTTCCTCTCTCATCCTCCCTCTCTCTCTCTCTCTCTCTTACTTCCTCTCTCCACCTCTCCCTTCTCTCTAACCCCTTCCAGTTCTCTCTCCTACTACATCTCTCTAATACAACAAAACACTAACACACCATCTCCTAAGTGACAGATATCGTGTAATAACCGACCCACAACAACACGCTCCCTCCATGAGAAAAATACTACGCCAAGAATCCCTTCACAAACAACTTACCTAGAACCTAAAACACCAAATAAAACATATTAATAAACCACAAAATAAACATAAATAAACCAGATAGATAGAGGAATTTATATAGATCAATAGATACATTATTAATATATGTATAGGAAGGTATTGAAAACATATATGGTATTGCAGAAATTGTTACCAGTGGGATTTGTAAAATGGTTTGTGTCTTTAGTCAGGCTCGCTCTCTCTCTCTGTTTATTGAGTCCCAAAATCGTTCTGAACTCTCTCCGGATGTAATAGTTTATATATACCTTCTATATGTTGCTATAAGCTTAGTATTTCCTTATTCATGTATATTTACCTGTATTTCTAAACGGTACCTTAAATTTTTGTTTATGTACCTGTAATTATACTTGTATCCTGTACCTGTCCTTATACCTACACCTGTACCTGTACTTGTATATCCATCTGAACCGTGTGTAGTGTTGTTATTAAATTCACGAGAATAAATAAGAACAAAATAAGACTTAATCCTGTTCACTGGGAACGTAAAATGTGGGACAAGTTTCTGAGGCCAAAACGAGGTGAAAAATTTCCTCTTGGCTGGTAACATGTGGCGTCCCTTGTGTGTGTGTGTGTGTGTGTGTGTGTGTGTGTGTGTGTGTCCGTGTGTGTGTGTGTTCGAGCCTTTATTTCCCATCCTAGCGAGGCTCTACTACCTACCATCTCCCTGACGACTGTACACACACACGTACACACACACACACACACACTTGCATCTGATGACTATATGACCTTTCCTAAAATCCTTCTGTGTGTCCTCCAATGCGTCCCCCTTCAACACGACTCCTACTTCATCCCCCTGAAAGCTCCTTAAGGACTTAGGCATTGTTCCTTGGATGCGACCATGACGAAGTTGACTCCTAGAGGACCTTCATGATCTGTAATACTCTACCCATAATGCCACTTTTCCTTTTTCTCCCGGATATTCAACATTACTAATATATTTTATGCAGTAGTGTCAGTTTGGCGTCATTCCTGTAGGAGTATTGAAAGTCATCATGGGTAAGTTGATGCCCTCTCCTTCAGAAGGCTTTGGGATATATCTTTAAAGGATATCCTATCCTCCGCTGGCTTGGTATCCTGTTTTGCAACGCCTCTTCCGCCCTAGTACTCCAAAACTCATCCCTCTTCCTCCCTAGTACTCCAAAACTCATCTCTCTTCCTCCCTAGTACTCCAAAACTCATCCCTCTTCCTCCCTAGTACTCCAAAACTCATCCCTCTTCCTCCCTAGTACTCCAAAACTCATCCCCCTTCCTCCCTAGTACTCCAAAACTCATCCCTCTTCCTCCCTAGTCACTCCAAAACTCATCCTCTAGTACTCCAAAAACTCATCACCCTTCCTCCCTAGTACTCCAAAAACTCCTCACTCAGTACTCCAAAACTCATCCTCTTCCTCCCTAGTACTCAAAAACTCATCCTCTTCCGCCCTAGTACTCCCAAAACTCATCACCTTCCTCCCTAGTACTCCAAAACTCATCTCTTTCCGCCTTAGTACTCCAAAACTCATCCCCTTCCTCCCTAGTACTCCAAAACTCATCCCTCTTCCTCCCTAGTACTCCAAAACTCATTCTCTTCCGCCCTAGTACTCCAAAACTCATCCCCCTTCCTCCCTAGTACTCCAAAACTCATCACCCTTCCTCCCTAGTACTCCAAAACTCATCCCCCTTCCTCCCTAGTACTCCAAAACTCATCCCCCTTCCTCCCTAGTACTCCAAAACTCATCCCTCTTCCTCCCTAGTACTCCAAAACTCATCCCCCTTCCTCCCTAGTACTCCAACACTCATCCCCCTTCCTCCCTATCACCTACCTGACGACTTTGGCACCATTCCTGAAGACGACCATGGAAACGTTGACGCCCCCTTCAGAAGACGCCGTGACGCTGAGCTCCCGAAACTCCGCCTGTTCCACCCGGATGTCCCAGTCGCCATGGATTCTTTTGCCTCGGAAGTACTTTGACCTGTCAGAAATGGAAAGGGTTAATTGAGATCAGAAGGTCAGGGCAGTGTGGGTAAGGTAAGGAAGATGTGTGTGTGTGTGTGGGTAAGGTGTGTGGGTAAGGTGTGTGTGTGGGTAAGGTGTATGTGTGGGTAAGGTGTGTGTGTGTGTGTGTGTGTGTGTGTATTTTATCTTTCCTCACGCCTAACTATAAACACAACATTTCTCTTTGTCTCTCGCTCTTTGTCTCTCCCTCTCACTCTTTCCTCATCTCTCTCTGTGTCATTTCGTCGGCTTCTCCCTTATTCTTTGTCTGTCTTTCTTTATATCTACACCTCACACTCTCTCTCACTTCGTGTTTCACTTATATCTATATTTTCCTCTTAGTTTCTCTTCCTCACTATATCTCTCTCTTTCTCTACATCTACCCATCATCATTTTGTCTCTCTTCCATTCTTTCCTTATCTCTCTGTCGCTTTTCCTCTGTCTCTTACTCTATCTCTCTCTCCTCTTTTTTGTTTTTCTCCCTCCGTCTGTCAGCCTCTCTCTCTCTCTCTCTCTCTCTCTCTCTCTCTCTCTCTCTCTCTCTCTCTCTCTCTCTCTCTCTCAAAGTCATCCCTTTAAATCCTCTCACCCAGGAAGCGGAAGACATACTACCTACATTTGTTCCTGTCACCTGGCATTACGTCAGGTCAAGGTCAGCTAGTTCAAAGGTCATATGGTATTCGACATTCTTAACTCTGTTTCGAGGTCAAGTCCGTGTCAAGTTCACTCACTAATTATGACTCCTGGAGATAAGTAAGGTCAAGGTCAAGAAGGGTCAAAGTTCACCCACCAATCATGACCCTGGAGATAAGTTGGGTCAAGGTCAAGAAGGGTCAAAGTTCACCCACCAATCATGACCCTGGAGATAAGTTAGGTCAAGGTCAAGAAGGGTCAAAGTTCACCCACCAATCATGACCCTAGTATGAATAGGTCAGGTTAAGGTCAAAGGTTACTCACCAATCAGTGTTCTGGTCATCTATAACGAGTAGGGTGAAGCAGCGATCCTTGTTGTATGCGGGCCTGGCCTGTCCTGTGACCTCGCTTCGTACTGCCCCCGTTAACGATGACACACGCTGAGGGAAAAAGGTCATGGATGACTTATGAGGTGAGAGAGAGAGAGAGAGAGAGAGAGAGAGAGAGAGAGAGAGAGAGAGGTGGATGAGAAGATAAGAGAGATACAAGGCTACGGGATAAAAGAGAGACAGAGAAATAAACAGATAATAACGGGCAATGAGATAAAGAACAAAACAACATATAGAACAAACAACAACAACAACAACGGCAGTGAGTTCATGACCCCCGGGACCAGGTAATTGGTCATATTACTGTTAATGTGTCAAGGTGTTAGGTCGAATTCCATAACGTTTCGTACGATGGCTATTCCTAATAATTGAAGATATATGAACGTAGCTAACTGGTTGATCGTTAAGCTGAAACACATATATAACATCAAGATTAAGCTGGGACTCTTTACCATAACTAGATACGTTCACTTAATAGAGGTACACAGATTATATGTATAGTATAATCCTTTTAATACACACACACACACACACATCTATACTCATGCATACACACAGAAATAACCACATGTACGCACACAGAAAATGGAAGCACACACACACACACACGTAAGCTCATGTACGTACATTTACATTAATACGGTGTAATACAGAGCCATAAGGAACGAGAGATAAAGCTGATAGTCCTAATTCTTTCACATCTCACCTCACCCTAAATCAACATTCCGTGAAGCAGAGGAAAATATTTAGGAATGCTGGAATAAGCCAATGGCATCCCTAAGATTGATACCATCACTGCTTTGATTGGTTCATTATTGCGGTCTGGCGAGTTAGCTGAAACAACTATGGATGTTGGAATGAACAAATGACTTCCTGGGACTCATGCTATCAAGTTTGTGATTGGTTCATTACTGCGGGCTGGTGAGTTACCAAAGTGCCCTCGCTAGTTAAATCAACGCGATTGGTTGACTGCGTGTGAAAGGGCTGGAAGGTTGTGAGCCGAGCTGAATTTTGATGGAAATTCAACCATGTGTGTGTGTGTGTGTGGAGAGTTTAAATGTATGTTGACAGCTATAAAACAGTGAACTTTCCTCTGGTTGTTGTCTTACCCGTTTCTCCCTCTCTATTGTTTTATCTTCCCCCCCTCTCCTCCGCCTCTCCCTCTCACTACAACATTGAATAAGGACGCCCTGTGGATTTCACAATGGGTTTATACCTGGAAAGTCCCCACACGTAGCCTGAGGCCATCCTGGAAATGATAAAATATTCAAGAAGTTGTTGACATAGCCATCTGGGTCTCTGGCGGCTTGGTATGGGGTTGGGTCGGTGGTGGGGGGTTTGGGGTGGGGGGTCGGGGTGGGGGGACAGGGGGGGGGGTTATGGAATTGTCTCTCGCTGGTCTTGGAAGAGGTGATCAACAAGTTCCTTAAGGTTCCAGAATAGTTTCTAGTGTTCCGTAGATGTTCTGACAGCTGTTATTAGTGTTCCAGTGATATTCTGAAGATGTTCTAGTTTACTGAGATCTTTGTAAGTATTTTAAATGTCTTTCACAGATTTTTCAGGAAGTGTCTTAGGTGTATTAGACATGGATGGCAGTGTGGTAACAAAGGAAACACAAACAGCCACTGGGAATTTTACTCTTGGCTCGTGTTTCCATCTTAAAGTCTTCCTCAGAGGAGTGAGTATTAAATTATTGTTGAAAATCCTTAAAAAACGCGCGAAAGAAAAAAACAAAAAATAAAACAAATATCTCACCTGCCTTCGTTCGGTCGCTGTGGGCTGACAGGTGAAGTATGAATTCAACCTTATTTGTTGACATTTTGTGTACTGGATATCATGGTCCATCCTCCGTTTTTATGGTGAAGGTGACCAAAGACGGAAGCTGTCCACCGACTTCTTCTTGTGGTGAATTGTATCTTCTCTTGCACTGTATGGCAATGATCATGTCGTCAACGTAACGCAGCCAAGTCATCCCTCTACTGAAGAAGAGCTTGTGGTGTTACAGTTTCCAGAGGTCTTTTGTAAGTGTCCCAAAGGTCTTCCAGGATTAATCTAAAGTTTTATGGTCGTTCCAGAAGTTTTTGTTTTTTCGTGTTGGAGTCCTTTTCCCTTTTTTTTTCTCCGCATTCTGGTGTTGTACAGAAGATGTTACAGATGTTCCAGGAATGATACAGATGTGTTCCAAGAGTGTCTTTATGTTCTGTTTTACTCATACGTCTTCCAGGCATTGATTGTATATTTTCTGTTGTTTTTCATGGGTATTCCACAGGTTTTATTACTTGTTGTTGTTGTACCAGGAGTGTTCTGAAGTTCTTCTTGAATTCCAATGAGTCCTCCAGCTTGTTTCTTGCATTCCCATATTCGTTCCAGTGTTCTAATGTTGCTTGGAGTTGCTGGCTCAAGGAAACACAGGCTTGACAGGTGTATTTATATGAGGGGTCTGTACAGTATGGCAGCGGGATACCAACTACCAATACAGGGTAACACGCGAACAGGAAACCTCACGCCACGTCATCTATATCCAACCACTCAGACAAGCAACTAAAAACCAACTCTCATTTACACCACCAGAGAGCAGCACTCGAGCACACACTCATTCACGCCACAAGAGGACTCACTTGAGCTCACACGCATATACATAAACACTATCCACCAACTGGTTTCTTTCAATCCATTATCGTTCCAGATGTTTTATTGTTTTCCCATGAGTTTCCAGCTGAATTCATGCATTCCTACATTCCTGTGGACTTTTAAACCCTTTATGAGGTGCTACAGTAAAGTGCCAAGGCTTTCAGAGTGGTTCCGGATTCTCTAAGATCTTCTACAGGGTTAGACACCTTTCAAAAGTGTCCTAAAGAGGTTCCTGGTCTTGTAAAGGTAATCCAATAGGTTTCCAGACATTCAGTATTGGTTTATGATTGCGGGCCAACACAGGCTGGAGCTGAAGTCTTACCGTCTGTGTTTGTCCACCAACATAAATCAACCCCTTATTTGTTAATGTGGATAATTCCCATTCAGTATCGTTCCAGTGAGTGTTGAAGTGTTTACAGAGTTCTTCCACTTGGGAGTTTCATCTCTCAAAAGTACTCCAGTCAGGTTCAAGTCAATTAGACGTGTTCCAATACAATTTTAGATCTGTAAGAAGTGTTCTACACCCTTCAGAAGTCTTCCAATAGAATTCCAGTTTTCCAAAAGTGTTCCAGGTCATTCAGATGTCTTCCAGTGATATTCCAGGTTTTCCAGAAGTGTTTCAAGTTCCTCATATGTCTTCCAATGGCGTTCCAGGTCTCCCCAAAGGTACTCCATGTTCTTCATCTGTCTTCCAAAAATGTTCTGGGTCCTTCAACTGTCTTCCACGGGTGTTCCAAGGCTTCCAAAGGTGTTCCAACGCCCTCAAATGTGTTGCAAAGCTTCTAAATGTATCCCAAGGCTTCCAAATATGTTCCAAGGCTTCCAAATGTATCCCATGAGTTCCTAATGAGTCCTAAGTCTTCCAAAGGCGTTCCAAGGCTTCCAAATGTTTCCCAAGTCTTCCAAATGCGTTCCAAGGCTTCCAAATGTATCCCAAGGCTTGCAAATGTATCCCAAGACTTCCAAAGGCGTTCCAAGGCTTCCAAATGTATCCCAAGGCTTCCAAAGGCGTTCCAAGGCTTCCAAATGTATCCCAAGACTTCCAAAGGCGTTCCAAGGCTTCTGAATGTATCCCAAGGCTTCCAAAGTGTGTCCCAAGGCTTCCAAATGTTTCCCAAGTCTTTCAAAGACGTTTCAAGGCTTCTGAAGGTGTCCCAAGGCTTCCAAATGTATCCCAAGGCTTCCAAAGTGTGTCCCAAGGCTTCCAAAAGTTTTTCTTGAGGCGTTGTATAAAAACCCAACCCTCTTATGGCTCCCGGGAACATCCAGAGCAGCCATAATATCGATCGTCTCTTCCAGGTGGACATAGAAGCACACTGTTATTTATTCAAGACTTGTTGTGGTTTATTGAGCCTTTATTAATCACTATCCCGGCTGCTTCTCTGTTTTTGGGTAATTTGTTATTTATGAATTTTCTTTTCTCAGGGATTTTTTTATTCATGAGATTTTTATTGGCGATTTTTTTTCTGTCGGATTTTATTTTATTTTTATTCATTCATTTAGTAATATATTTACTTTTTTACTTACTGACTTATTTATTTACTTACATACATACTGACTGACTGACTGACTTATATACGTTCATACACACATACTTATTTACTTATTTACAGGGGCTAGTGCACAACCATCCCCTTAGACCTCTCACAGAGTCCATAGATGAAGTCACAGAGTCCATAGATGACGTCACAGTGTCCATAGATGACGTCACAGTGTCCATTGGTCACTTGAAGGTTTTTGTTTCATCCACGTAATTGACTCCTGTGGTGTAAGACTCACCAGGGAACCGTAAAGACTCTTTATCGGCACGGGTGATAGCGATAATGACGATAAAACCCCGGATAACTGCCACGGAGGGCGATAAGGGAGAACGGGAAAATTGTGGTGATGGTAGGTGATGGTAGTGATGATAGGTGGTGGTGGTGGGTGGTGAGGGTGGGTGTAGATTGTGGGTAGGTGGTGATTGTGGTGGTAGGTGGTGGTGATGGTGGGTCATGGTGGATGATGGTGATAGTACCACTTACCATCACCACCATCACCATCACCACCACCACTACCACCACTACCACCACCACCACTACCACCCACAGCTAACCACCATTCACGTTAACATTAGCCGAGACACTTGGGCCGAAAATGGTTCCCTGACTTTAAAACTCCACAGAACTTTTCACACTGCTGGTAATTAAGAGGTCAATTGTGGCAGCCCCCCAAAGGACAGTATATAATTAGCAGTGAAGTGAGATAAGCCATTAAAAGAAGATACTAATTAGCTAAGACAGTTATTAATTTAGTTATGGTCGGGAGATGATAGCATGAAGGTCAGTGGTGATTAGTTAGAGATGGGGTGATTAGCTAAATACAAGGTGGTAATTAGCTAGAGACGGTTGATGATTAGGTTCTCTCTCTTAGCATGATCAAATATTTTGTCTTTTTCTCCTTTTTTTTTACTTTCACTCATATACACACCTCCAAATCTTTCTTTTATTCAATTATGAATTTTCTTTCACTTTTTCACATTTTCTTTCTTACTTTCTCTCATCTGAAGGAAGCTCTCCCCCCCCCCTCTCTTCTCATTCACTTAGGAAACTCTCACTCTCTCTCTCACCTGCAGGAAGCTCACTCTCTCTCACCCACGTGCAGGAAACTCACTCTCTCTCCCTCACCTGCAGAAGCTCTCACTCTCTCTCACCCACGTGCAGGAAGCTCACTCTCTCTCAGGAAGCTCTCTCTCTCTCACCCACGAGCAGGAAGCTCTCTCTCACCCACTGCAGGAAGCTCTCACTCTCTCTCACCCACGTGCAGGAAGCTCTCACTCTCTCTCACCCACGAGCAGGAAGCTCTCTCTCTCCCTCACCTGCAGGAAGCTCTCACTCTCTCTCCCTCACCTGCAGGAAGCTCTCACTCTCTCTCCCTCACCAGCAGGAAGCTCTCACTCTCTCTCCCTCACCTGCAGGAAGCTCTCACTCTCTCTCCCTAACCTGCAGGAAGCTCTCACTCTCTCTCCCTCACCTGCAGGAAGCTCTCCCTGGTCTTGGAGGGGGAGGAAGGAGCCGAGGTGGTCCTGGACCCCGGCCTGGAGAAGTTAAGACTGAAGCCTCCAGTGCTGCCGCCACCGCTACCTCCACCCCCGCCGGTGCTGGGGGCGGTGCTGGGGGCGGTGCTGGGGGCGGCTGGCGTAGTAGTGTCTGTGCTGGCATACTGGGTGGTACTGCCTCCCCCGCCGCCCCCGCCCGCGACGCTGCTGCTGTTGCTACTCACCTGAGGAACCACGGTGAGGTGGTAGGGGAGGGAGAGACCGAGAAAGACGCCAGTTTAGTGTATATATGGTGAGGAAAGAGGAGGAGGACGCCCCTCATCTGAGAGGCCCGGTTGTCCTTCCTTCCGCTACATATTAAACCAATTTTTTTTTTAAAGATTTTTTTATTAATTTTTTTGTTTTGTTTTGTATTTTTGCAGTACTTAAATTTATTCATGTATATAATGTATCTATCTTATTTTTTGGAAGGCTAATTGAAATCATCTGTGTATATATATTTTTGGAGGTGAAATAGTTATCATTGTATTTAAATATATCTATATATTTTTTTTTGGAAGGGGTTAAATATCAAGCTTATTTTCTTCATCATCATGTTAATGTGTCGTGGATCATGTAAATTTTTTTGGGGGGAGAGGTAAAGAACAACACATAATTTACCTTTTCTTAATTAATACGAGAAGGTGAGGAGTCAAAATATTTCCAAATTAAAAACCAAAAAGATCGTCATGAGAAGAAGTGGAAAATAAGCTTTCAATGGAAATTAGTTTTAACTCATTAACTTATCAAATTACTTAAACTAAACTAAAATATCATGCAAGGGGGGGAGGGGTTGGGAAGCCGGGTGTTTTAAAGGGCAAGGGACGCGGGGAACAAGCATGCTATTAGGTGGTTAGAGATAGTAGTAGTAGTAGTAGTAGTAGTAGTAGTAGTAGTAGTAGTAGGTTCAGGAGATGGTCATGCAGGTGTGAGTGAACTAACATTAACTGAGGCAGATGTGAAGGTAGGTAAGGTATGTTCTAAAACAATTGTGCACTAGGACAGGTGTGTGCCAAAGCAGGTGTGTGTGTGTGTGCTGAGGCAGATGTGTGCTAGGACAGGTAAGTGATAAGACAGGTGTGCTAAAGCAGATGTGTGCTGGGGTAGTTGTGTGCTAGGACAGGTGTGTGCTTGGACAGGTGTGTGGTGGGATAGTTGTGCGTTAGGACATGTGTGTGTGTGTTGTGGGACAGGTGTGTGTGTGTGTTAGGGCAGGTGTGTGCTGGGGTGGTTGTATGTTGGTGTGGGAAGGAAAACAATAATTATGCTTGGGTGGGAGTAAGTGTGGGTGGGAGTGGGTGGGGTATGTGTGGTGAGGGTGGGAGTGGGTGGGGCTAAGTGTGGTACAGGGCAGCAAGGTAGCCTCACTAATTACTACCACAGATTACCAGTCTTTACCACACCGGAGCCAAGCCACCACATCTGTCGATATCTATAAGAACTAACTCATTATTACCCATCGTTAAGTAGCTATAATAATTAGCTAAGTCAGTATCATACATTAATAAACACCTATAATAATTAGCTATCTCAATATCATCCACTATTAAATCAGAACCATAATAAAAATCTAATCTATTCATTAATAAAGAAAAAACTCTAAAATTCTGTCAAACTTAAGAAACCAAAAAAAAAAAAAAGGAAAATATGAAGACTGAAACACGAAAACTCTTCTTAATGTGACTTAAGCTGACAACCTGAAACCCAAACTGAAATAAGACTTCGATTTAGATAAACCAAGTTGAACGAGTAAAATTTTTTGGGAAAAGTTAAGACAGAGATGTTTTAAAAATCTATAAAATATTTCACAACAAGAAAAAATTATATAAGAAATATATTAGATCTGGGTGAAAGGTTATGTAAAAAAGATATTTAATTTCACAACCCGGAAAAAAAATGATAAACAAAACCCCCCTAAAAAATACCACCACCCTAAATGGGACCAAATGACTCGACCAAATCAGTCCTATAAGAAACACATGGACAATAAATAATCAGAAGAATTTTAAAGTAGAGGAAGAAAATGTCACTACAGAAAGGGAAAGAGTTAGAGAAAATTTATGCCAAGCTGCCGAGACGTAAAGATAATCCATGACAAGGTTGCATGATCCCCGCCTGCTTGTATTGAACGACTCCACACATGCGAGAGACATATCCCCCCAGCTACCGACCACAAGCTCCACCACGGCATGAAACTGAAGGAGTAAACTGATGGTGAAACATCCATTGTGTGGGATGAATACAACAACAACAACAACAACAACAACAATAATAATAATAACAATAATAGCAATAATAATAAATAATAAAATAATAATAAAAAACTAAACTAAACTTCATCTTACAAGGACAAATTTCTTCCTACCTAAAAAAAATATCAATTAACAAGGACATAAAACCCTATTAAATATATTTATTGATACAATTAAACTCTTGTACCTACTGTGGCTCTGTGTACACTATGGCTCTGTGTACATTATGGTTCTGTGTACACTATGGCTCTATGCCCAATATGGCTCTGTGTCCGGTGTAGATAGAGACTGGTGGGGTCGTAAAGTGTGGGTTAAAAAAATCTCTCTAAGAAACTAGCATTATCGTGGTACCCAGTAGGTTGGGATGACTCGAGACAACAAAGTGCTATACACGCTCGATGAACTGTCTCGATAGTTGGGTCTTTCTGTACGAGATTATCAACCATATGGAATTTTCCACCATTAGGCTGGTGGGAATGACGTTGTGGTTGCTTATATGACTCCGTTTTCGTGATTGGTTAGTTGGGCGATGTCCAAAGAGGCCTTTCAACCAATTAGAACTCAAAGATGAGTCAGGCAAAGCAAAAACAGTGATTTTGATAAGAGAATGAATGGGTAATGCATTTAATATCTGAACCGTAGAATGTTTGATAGACAGAATCAAAACAGAATATGAAGGGAAGTATTTCTGTCTCATTGACCCAAGAATTTGCATAATTTTGACGTCACGGGGGGGTGCAGGTGGAGGCGTGACGTCAGAGGGGATCTACACGAACAGCATACTGAGCACCACGAGAACGCTCCGGACTCCAGCTACTCCACACAAACAAATACCTGCTTAAGCCTCGCCTGAGAGACGACGAAAAGAAATAAAAGGAAAACACAATTAGTTCTTGGCTTTAAATCATCAAAAAGACAGTGATATGGTTAGCAGAAATGGTCACAGGTTTATGCCAGAGACACACAAAGATTTTTTTGTTTTTAAGTACATGTTGGTGGAAGAGACTAAAGCTGTCGGATATAAATATGTAGATTAAACTATGAAAATTTAAAGACTGTATTTTTTTTTTTGCTCATTCCTAAGAATCAAAGGAAGCAAGAAAAGGAGTTGAGGTATAAGAAGAAGAGCGGAAGTTCAAAAGTATTGGTCTGCAGAGAACTTTCCATTACATATCTTGAAGGTGTCTTGGTGCACTGGCTGTCATGCTTGCCCTCACCGGGGTGGTATAAAAATAAGAGAGGTCCCTTCTAGATGAGCATTCACCAGCAATGTACCATCTATCGCATCTATTCAAAGCCAGAGAGACTTACCATGGTGGTCGTGCTATACAGTTTTGTCTTCACCAGATCTCTATACAAAAGGGGCAGTTTGCCAGCTAGCTAACTATCTCAGACGGGTCAGTATTGGTCAGGGCTATGCTGGGTTTCACAGGCGGTACCGTCATCAGCTAACTACGTCATGCATCAGGTAAAGCTTCCTGAGTGTTACCTGCTGAGGCTGGGCCTTGGGCTGAGCTTTAGCTTGGCCCTGAGACACTTGGGCCTGAGGCTGGCCCTGAGGCTGGCCCTGAGGCTGGCCCTGATCTGGGCCCTGAATCTGGCCCTGAGAATGGTCCAGTGACTGACTCTGAGACGGCCTGCGGGACTGGGGTGCCCCGGGCGACGCTTGCTGTCTCTCAGCCTTACGGTAGGAGGAGGAAAGGCAGAAGAGGAAGAAGAGAAAAGAGCAGGCAATGAAGGAGAGGGAAAACAAAAGAGAGCGATTATAGCAACAGCGTCATGTGAGACAGCTGGAACAAGACTAGCAGGTGAGGCAGGTCTCCCTCCCCCCCATCAAAGATTCACCCGCGGGGGGGAAGTAAAAACTCAACCATTGGCAGTGTCATTCGAGGGCGGAAAAATAGAGTTCAGATGGAAAAAGAAATAGGGCTTGAAAATTATGAACACCCGGAGGACCAGGAACTGTACGCAATGCAGGACTGTATACTGAAGGGAAGAACATTTGAGCATAACTGCACATTCCAAGCTTATACAAGACAGCGAGGGTTCTTGAATACCATCACCTCCGACGCCTCCAAAACCCACAAGAGTACCCCAGCTGCTTGAGAGGTGACTCCTAGCTGAGGTACCCCAGCTGCTTGAGAGGTGACTCCTAGCTGAGGTACCCCAGCTGCTTGAGAGGTGACTCCTAGCTGAGGTACCCCAGCTGCTTGAGAGGTGACTCCTAGCTGAGGTACCCCAGCTGCTTGAGGGGTGACTCCTAGCTGAGGTACTCATAGCTTAAGGTTCTTCTTGTAGCTGTTGGCGGGGATAGGATGGATGGGACGGTCAAGGGTTAAGGTTCTTCTTGTATAGCTGCTGGCGGGGATGGTATGGGATAGGATGGAATGGGATAGGATGGGATGGGATAGGATGGGATGAGGCTGATGGTACTCAAGAGCCTCTCGCGGGAAAACACTAGAGGGAAGAGAGAACTGCCAAACGGAGGCTCTGAGGCCGTGATTGTGATTTACCTCGTCTCTGGTATCGTCCGGCTTTAGGGGTAATAACTGGGTTTAGTGACCACCACCACCACCACAACACGTACATTAGATTTTTCACTAGATTTAGATTTTAATGTTAGTTTTTTTTTCACTGAAGTTAGATTGTCAAGTTAATTTTTCACTGAAGTTTAGATTGTCAAGTTAATTTTTCACTGAAGTTTAGATTGTCAAGTTAATTTTTCACTGTAGTTAGTTTATAAAGTTAATTTTTCACTGTAGTAAGTTTATAAAGTTAATTTCTCACTAATTGAATTTTTTTACTGAAGTTTAGATTTTTAAAGTTAGTTTATTTACTATTCTTATATTATATAATTAATTTACATTATATTAAATCTAGCTTTCCTTTCCTGTATTTTCACTTTATAGTTAGCTGGACACTGTACTTAGATTTTAAAGCTAATTTTCTCACTGTAATTTAAATCTATTTTTTATTGCACATAAGACTTTCAAATTTAGCTTCTTTAATATCATTAGACTGAAAAATTAGCTTTCATTATACCTAAAATAAGCTCCTCGTGATATCCAGACTGTAGAGTTAGCTTTTTCACAAGTAATCTTAAACTTAGCTTTTATCCACCATACTTTAGACTACACAGCTAAACTTTTGTTGTAATAATACTGTAAAATTATCCTATTTATCATACTGAAGTGTAGCTTTTTCAGCATACTTAAATATAGCTTTTATAACCATAATTAAATATAACGTTTTCACTATGACTAGACTTTTAAGTTAGCTTTTACCATTACACTTAAGGTAGTAGTCATAGTTTCTTATATTATAGCTTTAGGATCTTAGAGTTACCATCCAGCTATGAGTCAAAGATATTTTCACTATGATTAAGTCTAGAGAATTTAGCTTTCTCGCTGTACATAAAATAACACAATATATTAAGGGATTTCTATAAGGTAAAGAAATATCCAGCCTTAGAGAATCCAACCCCACTGTAACGTATGATAAGATCTGGTAGAGTAACTGACAATAAATTACTTGTTTCGTCATTTTTTCATCATTTTTTCGTCCTTCATTGCAATTTCCTTAATGTAATTACTTTAATGAGTGTTGTTACGTTTGTCTGTGGCTTAAAACTATCATATCTCGGTATTAAATAACTTTGTGTGCATTAACATGATATAGTGTTAATTTAAGTATCATATTTTTAACATTAACACAAAATTTCTGGAATTTGATCACGGAAATAAGTTAATATTATTTTCTTTATGCTTTTACGTGGATATTATTATTGTTTTTCATTTTTATCTTACAGACATGATGTTATTTTGTTTCCTATACGCGACAAAATATAGATGACAGTATACGATCAGATCCTATAAACTTTCTAAACCTTTCGCATCCCTTACACTTAGAATCCGATCCTCTTTCTAGTACAGTTCAGCCATCTATAGCTTATTAAACACTCAAAACAATAGACTACGTAAAGTTTATACATTTTATTTGGGATTCAGGTCACTTTATGGAATCGAAACCGACAAGACGATGCTTTTAAGTCCTCTTTCATGGTTGGCACCTTATTACCTACGTTTGTAAATAATGTAAACCTGTAAATTAAGCTATATAACTCACTTAAAACAACAAAGTTAATTTTTCTTCGTTCACTTTTAACTTATACAAGACCCTAATTTTATCCTAATGCTATCTTAAATATTTACAACTAGATATGTAAGATAATTAAAGACTAACTAACTATCCAGTGATCATTCTCCACTAACTAATACTCCAATAACTGCAAATTAACTAACTATCCAATGATGACAAGGTACTAACTAACTACCTAACTACCTAACTAACTAACTGACTATCTTATATTTATACTAGCCAGTCCTTGTAATTATGGCACTTAACTCAGGTACATAAATTACTTTGGCCTTTGTAATCATACCGTCATACTTTTCTTAATTACGACATACACACACACACACACATACACACACACACACATACACACACACACACACATACACATACACACACACACACACACACACACATACACACACACACACACACACATACACACACACACACACATACACACACACACACACATACACACACACACACATACACACACACACACACATACACACACACACACATACACACACACACACACATACACATACACACACACACACACCCCTCCCATCTGAACGTGTCTCACAACTAGTCATCAAGTGAAATTATATAACGTAAGACACTTGTAGTTAACTGAAGACTAAAGACGAATTACGTTACATAGACGATTGTGAATTACAGTACAGTTTTTATCACTGTAGTTGAGGTGAACTATATATCGACCATCTGGCGAGGAGTTTTAAGAGTTATTGTTGAAATTCTGAAACGTATAAGGTCTTGTTGTATAGCGGAATGGAACCCGGATTTAGTACGCGTCGTGTTGGTAGAGATGACGTCATTGTTGGTGTGTGTTTACAAAGTGACGTCATTGTTGGTTTGCTTACAAAATGACGTCATAGTTGGTGTGTTTACAAAATGACGTCATATTGGGTCTGTTTACAAAGTGATGTCATACTTGGTGTGTTTTTACAAAGTGACGTCATTGGTTGGTGTGTTTACAAAGTGACGTCACAGTGTGTCAGGTTGGCAGAACTCACGTTGGATTCAATTGGCAGTTAATATTCTATCTTGTTTCAGTATTTTCTTCTCAATGTTATTATTTTCAATGTCTCTTAAGCGATACCTAATGTAATGTTTTTTTCCTGTTCCATAAAGACGTGACAAAGATTGACTTATTTTTTTTAACATGTGAATAAAAAAATTAGCGATAAATTAGAGTATTTTTTCCTAATGCTGAATCTACTTAATTATTATTTACCAGGTGACTTCTTATAATCTACCAGGTGACTCGACATAATCTACCAGGTGACTCGACATAATCTACCTAATGACTTTATTAATTAACGCTTTGACAGACAGACACTCATACAGCAAGATTATCACTGTAGTCTCGTAGTTAGGTTAGGTAAGGTTAGATTAGGTTTGGTTAGGTTAGGTCAAGAGAGCTCTGACCTTATGGTAATATCTACTACTGTGCTGTGTTGCGCCGTTAAAGAGGATGGTGTCTACCGCTAGAGTCCAACGGCTTCCTGGTATCCACTGACCTATCATGTTAAACTCAGCCCCAGAAAGTGACTGACATGTGATGACGTGATAACTGTTGAGACTTGCTTTAATGTGATGTGGTTTTGTTGGTCTAAAGTGTAGACATTATTTTATCTGAACTTTCATGAACGAGTCTGTGTTTTATATCTTCGTAATATTTTGAACTTTATGAGTTAAAATCATCTATTTTTTTGTAATCTGGAGTGAAAATCCTCTATTTTTTATAATCTGGAGTGAAAATCCTCTATTTTTTATAATCTGGAGTGAAAATCCTCTATTTTTTTTTAATCTGGAGTGAAAATCCTCTATTTTTCATAATCTGGAGTGAAAATCCTCTATTTTTTTGTAATCTGGAGTGAAAATCCCCTATTTTTTTATAATCTGGAGTGAAAATCCTCTATTTTTTTTGTAATCTGGAGTGAAAATCCCCTATTTTTCATAATCTGGAGTGAAAATCCTCCATGTCTTATAAACTGTGTAGAGTAAAATGAAATCTACAAAAGACAACAGACTTATAGAAATAACAATGAACTTACCACTATTAATATTTCTGACTCAATTTGCTAATTTTTACTCAATGTCAAGTTTACTTATCAGCCAATGATATTTAAACAGACTAAAACCAAATTAACATTGTAAAACCTAACCTATCCTTACCAAACCTATTCAACATTGCATAACCTATCCTAACCTAACCTAACCTAACCTAACCTAACCTAACCTAACCTAACATAACCTATCCTAACCTAACCTAACATAATTACCATTGCAAAACCTGATCAATCTCGCCGTATTTCCTCATTCCAACCTAACAAAAATATCCTCATTAAGTGGACACCATTTATAATTACACTAATTAATATTTAAAGGTGAATATGACACCACAAACACCTTCACAAGTTGACTATAAAAAATTCTCCCGACTAATCATTCTATCATTATAAATCTTTACCCGTCATTCTGCTTTAAAATTCCACACCAGAATTTTTTATACCAAGAATCTGACGCTTTTAATCCTCCATAATGAAGCTCTTATATACCAAAGCTTTAATATTCAGTTAGTCCTTAAGCTTCGTGTACTGATGTTATGCCATCACGTAAGCCAGAGTTCTGCCTCCCGGTACACAGTGTATAGACGAATTCATATGTAAACACAAACGTCACATTGAAGTTTCCTTTGTGATGGTAACTTATGATCTGTGAAGGCCTGTGAAGTAATAACTCGACGGTGGAGGAGGAGTGTAAGAGATACTGTTATGGGGATGTATACAGCCATAGAGGTTTGTTATTGAAGAACATTATTCATTTAATTACATCCTGTATGCCTAAGTGAATCTTCTATTGATTTATTTTATCGTTGTCAAATGAGTATCAATCATCTGTCACACTACGGGATAACTTTGTTGATATATGATAGTAAATTTATCAGCGTTGGAGAATAGCTGACGAAACCAACGTGTCTTTATGGAGTCTTCAGTGGTAATGTATAGTAAGGAGGAATTCAAGCCTGTTCTACTGTAGATACTTTCGGAAATTTTACTCTAAAGAAATCGAACATTTTCATCATAGTCAACATTTTTAAAAGTATTTGATGTTGATCTGTTCATTAATTCAAGACTTGTGATAAAATGAGACTCGATTACTTGGAAATTTCAAGAAAGTCCTGAATTGATGGATATTGTTGCCACAGTCGTTGGTGTCGTCAAGAGGTATGTGTGGACGTGGAGGAGGGTAATGACGGGCCTAGGTGACATCCATCATGTTTATGTGTAAAGTTTAGACTTGTGTAAGCACTCGCGGAGCGCTCACAACATCTTAATACACTGAATTACTAAAAAAAACAAAAAAAAAACAATCTCAAATGGCGGGAGGAAAACTAAATTTGTTTACCTTTTACATGTTCCCGCCAAAATGGATCAGATGTGATAATTTTGGCGCGAAGCATCCACATAAATGTGAACAAAGCCGTTTTGACTCGTGTATTTTTATCAAGAGATGTCTGGGGTTGAGAGACTCGCGAGAACTTACTGCTAATGCACTTAACATAATACTCTAAAACCCTGGACTCGAATTCTCAAAGATTTTTACGTAAATTTCCCCCCGTAACTGAGGATTAAAGGGACACATCAAATAACTTTTGTTCAGGAGTTTCAACTTCAATACCATTTAGGCTACCATCGTTTAGTCTCGACCTCAGCAGTTAGATGTGTTTAAGGGCTCAACTTAAGAACTCAGAGGCTCGTTCGTGAAACCATCCTTAGCGAGGGACACGATAACACATCCAAGCATACACCTAAACCCATGACTCACAAACAGTTGCCGAAATAGGATAGAAATACCACTTTAATCCCAACGTAAACACACATGCCCTTCCATTCTCAACCACGACGACAAAGAATCAACCTATATGAATCTCTGAGAATCCGAGACCAGGACGAATCTTTGAGCTAACACCACCTCCCCTCCTACACCCTTCCCCCAATACAAATACCACAGGCCACACCATTAGCCTCAAGCAGGTGGCAGGAGAGACGGAAAAACAACAGGTGTGAAGACTCTTACCTGTTGGGTAATAACTTCTTGTTTACGGAGTCCAATCTCTTCGTCCTCGCACTCAGCAGACAGGTCCCCAGAGGAGAACCTGTATGTGGGAAGGAAGACCATCCCATCAGAAGAAGAACGTGGCTGTGAGACAATTGATGGGAGAGATAGGGAGATAAAAGATGGTGGTGGCATTACGGTGAGAGATACTTAGTGGAGAGGTTGGTGATAGTGGTTGTGGTAGTAGTGGTGGTGGTGGTGAGGGTAGTGATAATTGTGGTTGGCAGTGGTGGTGGTGGTGGTAGTAGTGGTGGTAGAAGCAAATAGTATCAGTCATATTGATAGTAGTGGTGGTGGTAGGTGGGGTATTGGTGATAGTGGTGGTGGTAGGTGGGGTATTGGTGATTGTGGTGGTAATAACAATTGATAGTGGTGGTTAATAGTAGTGGTGGTTGTACACAGTGGCCACACCAACATACATTACACTTATAAAATACAAACTTAAAGTAACCTTAAAAAAATATACTTTAACAATTTTATAAAATATTTTAACACCATTTTGTAATTTTTGGGTTATGGTAAATTATTTTCAGCCAATTTTTTAATTTTTTCTTCTATTTTTGTCCCCAATTCGTGTCTCTTTTAGTGCCAATTTTTGTAGTAATTTTTAATACGAATATTTTATTTTTTGATATTTTTCTGTATTTTATTCATTATTGGTATTATTATTATTATTATTATTATTATTATTATTAGTAGTAGTAGTAGTAGTAGTAGTAGTAGTAGTCGTAGATAGTATCAATAGTAGTAGTATTTATAAGAACACAAAGAACAGCATCATTATTGTTGTCTATATATGCCATTAAGGGTGAAGGAACACACACGTCTACACCCCCTCTAAAAATAATGGACTCGCCTCTACTGCCACGATAACTTACCTCAGGTCAGGTCAGGTCAGGTCGACGCTCACAAACAACGGGGATATACTCAATAGAAAAATAATTTTTTTTTTTTTTAATTTATGGGGAAAAACAGACACAAATCGAATTCGGATTTTAGATTTTTGGAGCCGGATTTTTGGAGAGGTTCGTCAGATACATTTCCATTAATTTGTAAACAATGATGGGGTACCAAAATGGCGTCAAAATAGTACAGAGACTCGAACTCAATGCCTTACGAGAGAGAGAAAACCCGCTATGACATATATTTTCTTTGATCTGATTCCATGATTTTTAAAGATTCTTACGTTTATTTTTTTCTCGTAACTTGGAGATATTAGGTTAGGTTAGGTTAGGTTAGGTTAGAGTCTCAAGGCTAATTTCGTCGCCATTTTATCCGCCATGTTTGTTGTTTGTGTAGTAGTGAGACAGATTAGTTCCTACATAACCTCATTAGCTGGAAGGAAATGTTTACTTAAGAACCATAGAGACTCCACATTATCCTGGTTCTGTGTTTTGAGTTGCGACAGTGACCGACAGTGACCGGCAGTGACCGACAGTGACCGACAGTGACCGACAGTGACCGGCAGTGACCGACAGTGACCGGCAGTGACCGACAGTAACCGACAGTGACCGACAGTGACCGGCAGTGACCGACAGTTTCAAAGATGATATAATACCCTTGATTCAGATCTGGGACAGTGACATGCAATGCTTATGCCAAAGAGGTGTAGTTAGTACCATACAGCGACAGTGACCACAACACAAAGCTGTGACAGTGACATGCAGTAACAGTGACCACAACACAAAGCTGTGACAGTGACATGCAGTGACAGTGACCATGCTAAAGTTACGCTGGTATCCATAACACAAACAGTGCCACAAAGGAGTTAGGACAGTACCCCTTGACATAGACGCCACGACAGTAACTATGGGACAGGAGCTAACGACAGTAGCCGGCAGTGACTGTACCTCCAAAAAACACGATTCGCTCAAGTAATTATATAATATGCAGTGAAAGAAAAATTCCCTCGTAGAAGCAGTTAGCTCTGAGATAGAACCAAGCTATAGAAAGCTAAATATACTTTACAAATGATAGGAAAAGCTAGAACTGAGATAAAAAGAACAAAGAAATGCGTTCTGGTAGACAGAGGAAAAGCTACAGTTGAATCAGAACAAGCTAAGTATGCAGAAAAAGCTAAAAGTGAGGAAAAAAGCTAAATATAGACACTACATATGAAAGCTAGAATTTCCCCTCACTCACGATGGGGACTAAAAGCTAACACTGCATTCTTTTCAGGTTTAAATAATTTCAGCTCAAGAGGGAAGACTATGCTTACTTAGCTGAGTATGATGATCTATAGCTGCAGCATAAACAAGACATTTAACGGTACAGAAAACGTGCAGGTTCTGTCCTCTTGGTGAAGTGTGTGTCATGTAAATCACGAGGTGGTACTTGAACTAGGTGACACTAGAACTAGGTGGTACTTGAACTAGGTGGTACTTGAACTAGGTGACACTAAAACTAGGTGGTAATTGAACTAGATGTTACTAGAATTTTGTTACTAGTACTAGGTGAAACTGGAACTAGGTGACATTGAAACTAGGTGTTACAAGAACTAGGTGGCATTTCTAACTAGGTGGCACTGATACGAGATGGTGCCAGAAAAAGATGATACCAAAACTAGAATAGTTGGTACCAAATAGGTGGCATTAAATAGTACTAGAAATAAATAGCGGCAGAACTAGTTGGCACAAGAAATAAAGCAGGGATAGAGAAACCAGACGTGAATTAAACCCCAAATGGTGCTAGGGGGAGAGAGAGAGAGAGAGAGAGAGACACACACACACACACACACAAAGAGAGAGAGAGAGAGAGAGAGAGAGAGAGAGAGAGTGGATATGTGTGTGTGTGTGTGTGTGTGTGTTCCCCAAAGCTATCATGCAACTCACATACTCACATGACACACACACACACACGCCATACAACTGAAGGAAGCGAGGTACTGTATAGTGAATGAAGTGTGATAGAATGATAGAAGTTTGTGATGTCATTCCACATTGCCAGAAAGGAGATATTTGTGGATATGTGAGTGTGGGTGTGGTGTGGGTGTGGTGTGGGTGTGGTATGGTGTGGTTGTAATATAGGTATGGTGTGTGGTTTTGGTATGGGCATGTACTGGGTATAATCATGGGTGGGAAAAGTAAACTAAAAAAAATACCAATTAATATTTTTTTTTTTAGAGTTTAAATTTCGTAAACAACAACTACATAATTTTTATCAAACTAATAGAGTTTAAGTTCTTTCAATTTCATTCTTCTATCTTCTCGGGTTTTTTCCCTTTCTATACTAAATTTAATCTCCTCGCTTTCTTTTCATTCTTCGTAATTATATTTTTATTATCCCTTTGTTTCACCTGCTCCCCTAATTATCAATCAATGTCTGTCTGTTCAATATTTTCTCTCATAATTCATTTTCTCTCTCTCTGTCTCTCTCTCTCTCTCTCTCTCTCTCTCTCTCTCTCTCTCTCTCTCTCTCTCTCTCTCTCTATTGGACCTTTCTCCTGATTCTTTCTCTCATGCATTCATCTCTTCTTCGACTTTCTCTCTCTCTCTTTGTCCTTTCTCTTGTCTCTTCTCTTATTTACTTCTCTTTATTCCACTTTATTCTTTACGTTTGTTCATCTATCATCTCTTTTTCTCTCTCACCCGTCTATAGTCTTTTTCCAACACTGTTTCTCGTTTCTCTTCCTCTCCTTTGTTTCTCTTTCTGTCTCTCCCTCTTTAATCCTCATTAATTTTTCTCCCTCTCGCCATGGTAGTCTCTCTCTCTCTCTCTCTCTCTCTCTCTCTCTCTCTCTCTCTCTCTCTCTCTCTCTCTCTCTCTCTCTCTCTCTCTGGTACTATCTGCCAGGTAGTCTCTCTCTTTCCTCCTGAAATTTTCCTCTCATTGTGTCCTAATAGTCTCTCTCTCTCTCTCTCTCTCTGGCCCTGGGTGGCGTGGCAGGGCGTGGCAGGGCGGGGCTAGACGGGGCAAGTACCTGTCTCTCCTGAAGCGAGCCTCCGTCAGGGGACTGGCGGCGAACGCCTCCAGCGCTGAGCTAGACGACGATTGCACGCTGCCGGGGGGACACACGCTGGCTTAGTGAGGGACCCACGCCCTCCTACACCTGCACACCTATGCTTACCTGTCCTACACCTGGGTCACACTGTCCTACACCTGTCCCACACCTATGCTTACCTGTCCTACACCTGGGTCACATCTGTCCCACACCTGTACTGCACCTGTGTTTACCTGTCCTACACCTGGGTCACATCTCTGTCCCACACCTGTACTGCACCTGTGTTTACCTGTCCTACACCTGGGTCACATCTCTGTCCCACACCTGTACTGCACCTGTGTTTACCTGTCCTACACTTGGGTCACATCTGTCCCACACCTGTACTTACCTGTCTTATATCTGTGCTATAACTACGGTACATCTGTCTTAGTGAGAGACCTACACTTTCCTCTACAAGTGCCACACCTAAGCTGCACCTTTGTTGCATCTGCTGTTTTACACCTTAAACCTGCAGTACACATGTCATTCACCTCTACACCTGCATCCCTCTTACATCTGTCCTAAATCTGTTTGCACCTCCACACCTGTCGTCCCTTCTACACCTGTCCTACACCTGTCAACACCTGTCATATAAGAGGAAAATACCTTGATTACACCGAACTACACCTGTCGTGATTATATCTGCCTACACCTGCTGGTTCATAATGAGGGACCCACACCATCCTACACCTGCCTACACCTGCTGCCTATATACCCCACGTGTGTACCTGGCCACACCTGCACTTGTAGAGGGCCACATGAACATATGTATACCTGGTATTATGTGTACAATGCAACACTTACACATATTCATCTGGTTACACTTACACATGTGCACCTGGTGACCCTTAAATATGTGTACCTTGCCTCAGTTACATAATGTGGACATGGCCACGCTTACACATGTGTACCTTGCCGAACTTACATATGTACACCTGACCAAACCTACACATGTGTACCTGGCAATACTCACACATGTGTACTTTGCCGAACTTACATATGTGCACCTTACCAAACCTACACATGTGTACCTGGCCACACTTACACACGTTATCGAAAAAAATGCAATAGCAGGCTAAATCTAATAAATTTTATGTTGTGTGTG